TGTGTGTGTGTGTGTGTGTGTGTGTGTGTGTGTGTGTGTAAACTCAGACATCCTGACCTCCCGCTGAACATCCACTGAGCATTTAACTCTGTAGTTCTCGGCAGGCGCCAAACTGCTGCATCAGGTATTCTCTTTGACATGGAGAGAACAAAAACCATCCCACAATGTGTGTGTGTGTGTGTGTGTGTGTGTAATTCTGTACAGTACACACTCTAGCCTGCTGCTGTGGATGAGTGTGTGAGCTGTAGGCTACCAGGCCACCTGGGAAAATGTGTGTCATTGAGCACAGTAAAACAATAGTGTTAATAATAACAACCAACTGATACTTAATGCTTGTGCACTGTGATGAGATTTACTCAAAGGCCAGCAAATGGATAATACATTGTTTTTTTCAAAGTCTGACTGGTAGTGGAAGCAATATCCTCACCCTTAAATGTGACAATGACGCCATAGAAATTAAACGCGATAAATCAACAAATGAAAGCAGCACATAAATTGTAACGTGTTATTGGATCAAATGCTTGAAAAGATAAAGTAATGAATCCATACTGTAATGCTTCAGTGATATTTTTGCTTCAGTCTTTCATGAACGCGCATTCCTGCACAGAAAGGCGAACACGCGCGCTCGGTGAAACAAAGACGTGGACGAGGCTCTTTTGAAGCAGTCAAGGTGGAGGAGAAGCAGCGGGGAGGAGGGGATGGAGGCCCAGAGCATCACTTACTGGACCGAGAACCATCTAGGATTACTCTCCTCATCTCTAGAAGGGATGACGTAATTCTGGACTACAAAAGTGGGAGTGGTCTGGGCGTGATTGACTGATTAAAGGCACAATCGGCCACTGAACTTTGAGTACTGAATAGGAAGTTAACTTTAAAGATGGATGTAAATCAGTATGTTTTTAAATATCACTTTAATATAAATGTTTTAGATATGTTTTGGCGAAAAAACGAATAATTTTAATATTGCATCATATATAAAACTTGATAAATGTAACCATTTATAAGGTTTTATGAAGCAACTGACATTAAACTTGTTGCGTTTTAAAAATATATATATACCTGCACCTGTTGTGGCACAAATTCCATTTCCTGAAACAATATGTTAGCTTTCCAATAACAGTGAAATCCTTTCTGAAGTAAACATGTTAAGGACTTCAGTGTTTCTCCCTCTTCCTTCTCCTCCTGTGTCCTTTAATTTCTTTGCACTTCACTGACATGTCAGGACGTGTCCCAGCCGTGCAGCAATCTTTAGTTCCAGCCTCCTCTGCGCGCAGAGATACAGCTGTCCGATGTAACTGTAGTGTCACTTTAAAAGGCGATCCCATGCGCAGGATCCAGAGGGCTGGTCTTTAATCGACTTGCGTGCGCGCGTGTGTGTAAAGAGTGTGTGTGAGCCTATGCATGCGCGTGTGTATGTATCTCAGTGTGTGGAGGGCAGATCGAGATACAGTAGTAACCCGGAGTGAGGTGGCAGTCTTATTCCACATCGACACCGACTTGCCCTGCATGCGTCCTGTCTGCATTTACATCGCTGTGCGCACTTGAGGAGTGAAAGAGAAAAGAGTCAAGATGGCAACTGGAAGTGGCTGTGGACAATCCGGGATTTAGTCTTTTCTGTATTTGAGGTTTTTTTGTGCTATCAAGTGACCGGCCGTGCAAGGTATTTAATTTAAAGTGTTCGTAACAGATTTATGCCCCAGAGAAAGGAAGCTTTAGCACTTTCTCCTCCGCCGGTGCTCTCCAGATTCTTGCAGCAGGAGGGGATTATACGTAGAGCTTCTGTTAGTGAAGTAGTATTAGTGAAGTAGTATTTTATTATAAATGTAGTGAAGATCACGGGGTGCCATGTTTAAATAGTACTAGTGTGGCTTCACTGACACATTTAGCACTGTGTTTTGTAGACTCGGCTTTTTTTTTTTTTTTTGTCGTTGATGCTTTTTTGCTTTTCTATAACGAGGTGCTTTGGGTTTGATTCTTGTTTTTCTTCCTGTCCTTCCCAGGCGTGAATAACTGAAGTTTTTTCTCGGGACTTATCTGCTATAGAATTAGCAACAAAGGACGGGAGCGCGCATTCATGGGATGCGACTTTGACAGCTCTCCATTTCTTGTCCTTTAACTTTATTATCTGGCAGCGGGGGCGAGATTGTGATTGGAGCCGGAGAGAATGGCTGAGGCTCCGCTCCCCGACACACTCAAGGACCTGGAAGTGGCTATAGACCCGGACTTTGAGCCCCAAAAGCGGCCAAGGTCTTGCACCTGGCCTCTGCCGCGACCGGACTCGAGCGCGGTGAAGCCGGAGAGCAATGACACAGATATTATACCCGAGGAAGAGGATGACGAAGAGGACAGTGCCACCGCGGCTGCCATCAGTGTCAATGGCTCTGGCGCGGCGGCAGAAGATCAGAGTAGCAACAGTCCCATTGCCGATGGAGCGCTCTCCTCACCCGGCCAGGAGAGCAGTGGCTCCCCGCTCTCCACACACTCCCCGACGGCCACCCCTGGCGCTCTGAACCCCAGCAGCTTGTCTGCCGTGCAGACCCCAAGGAAAACATCATCTCGCCGTAACGCCTGGGGGAATCTCTCCTACGCCGACCTGATAACCAAAGCCATTGAGAGCTCGCCAGAAAAGAGACTGACACTGTCCCAGATTTATGAGTGGATGGTGAGATCCATCCCTTACTTCAAAGACAAAGGCGACAGCAACAGCTCCGCAGGATGGAAGGTAAGAGTCTTCCCACCATCCAGCCCACCAGCCCCCCCCCCTTCCTCCATCAAAACAAAAACAAAAAGCATGTGGCTTGCAAACCCACTGACGTACACTCACAAACAGACACTCACATGCACTCAATTATGCCAAGACTGTAGATTCCCCCCCCCCTTTCAGCTTCTATTTATTTGGGAAGTCTGGCACTCATTACACCTCTCATTATCATGCTAATGGAAAAAATTACAGAGCAGTAAGAAAACACAGGTTTTTTTAAGGTCATTTAAGATCACGAATCTCTTTAATCAGCATGAGGATTGGTAAATCCTTTACATAATTATCTTCTAAATGTAACAAAATGTGACAGGAGGAGCTTATTCCAAAAAAACATTATAAGACTTGGAAAAATTCCAAGTTCCTGATCCGTGATATTTCTTTGATGGCTGGAAATGGAGCAAACAAACACTTGAACCAGTTTGTCTGGAAACACAGTGGCATATTTTGAGTAAAGCGGTGCTACATAAGACTTTCAAAGAATGATGCAGTTATATAAGACAGTTACTGAACAGCAGCTAATCCGCTTGGCCAAGGAGCTGAATGTAAACATAACAATTTAACACTAGTGCTCTGTGGAAACATTTGAATCCCGAGGCCTTCCTTTTATGACTAACCTCTGCAATGAAACCTCACTGTGGTTGGTTCAGTGAAACCATTCAGTCTTTCTGTGGTTGCGATACTAGAATGACACTTTGATAGTCACTTGGATTTTATATATATATATATATATATATGAGACACATTTCCATTATGTTATTGTAACCACAGAGGCATTGCCCTGTTTGCTATTTGTTATGTAAACCTTGGCAGGGATCTGCCAGTCTCCTGGGTCAGGTAGGCAACTGCCAAGGTTGCTGATCCTACCATGGGGGAATTACATAAGATCTGCCCTGAGTTTGGGCGAGCTGTTATGCATCGATCTGGTGACTGAAAAGGCTTATGGGGACTGTGAAAAAAGAGAGGGCGTTGGAGGAAAGTACAAAAGGTCAAAGGGCAGAGATTAACACCCACCATAAGCTGAAGGATCGGTCCTTTGGGGGCCCATATTTTGTCAGGCCTTCTCAAGTTTTCTTATGTGATATGGTTCGGGGTGTAGCCTCATCAAGGCCGAGTTCACCGTCACCATGCAGGGCTGTTACTCCTGGAATTTCGGGCATGAGGGCCAAGCTGTCAGAGGTTTAGTGTTACACATGTCCTGTCAGTAAATCTTGGCCGGGGCTCACAGCCTATGCCTTCTTCTTTCTTCTTTTTGTTGAATAAGACAGGCAGACTCTAGCTGCTTTTAGCTGTAACAGACGTCTTTTGACGTCTTTTTCTATCACAGATCTGTGATACAGAGTAGTGCAGTTTATTTTAACCAGGCATATTTCATTCAAGTGGCCAGTGTGTCTCTCGGCGTCATGCTACCCATCACATCCTTTGAGATTCTAGGAAATGAGCAGTGAGCAACGTTTATTGAGGCCATTAGGAAGAGTGCCTTGAGGTTTCCAAAAAACATCTTTTGTGAATCAGATTGGATTTGTTTTTAGCCTGAGCAAAGGTAAACACAGAAATTAGAAGTCTGGATCAGGAATCTTCAGGATACTTGCCAACTGACTAACCAGAAACATATTCTTGTGCATGCTGGTTTGTTTACATGTGTGATGCTGAGGAAAACTTTCCATTTAATGTGTTTTGGTGCTGGAGCGGTGGTAGTAAATTAGATAAAGTGGTTTGTGCTTGCAGGTTTCCAGACTTCAAGAACAGAGAGTTTTGTAATCGGAAGGTTGCCGGTTCGAGCCCCGGCTTGGACAGTCTCGGTGGTTGTGTCCTTGGGCGAGACACTTCACCCGTTGCCTACTGGTGGTGGTCAGAGGGCCCGGTGGCGCCAGTGTTCGGCAGCCTCGCCTCTGTCAGTGCGCCCCAGGGTGGCTGTGGCTACAATGTAGCTGCCATCACCAGTGTGTGAATGTGTGTGTGAGAATGGGTGGATGACTGGATGTGTAAAGCGCTTTGGGGTCCTTAGGGACTAGAAAAGTGCTACACAAATACAGGCCATTCATTCCAGCTGATCTTGGGCTTTACTTCCAGTGGCGTTTAGGGATGTAAAATACCATCTGCAGGGTGGTGATGTTTATCAAAGGCTCAAGTTCATTAGATGTACGTCCACAGCTGGGATCATTTTCCTTCATGGAGGAATCTAGTTATTCAAAGTGTTACACAAAACGTCTCAAACTGGAGAAAAAAAAGTAAAACATGTTGCAGGGATTCACCAAATCTTTATTGAAATCTGTGTTGAAATAATCTGTGATTCGATAACACTGGATTTTTAAAGGATGACACTTCTACAGCTCTGAAATAATGAGCAGGCTTCTCAGCATTAAGGCCTGAGCATGTCCCAAGCTGTACTAAGGCTTTAGTGAAAAACCCATGAAACTAAAGACAGCCTGCAGAGCCCAGTTTTCAGAGGACTGCCTCTGCATGGGGACCTCAGAGTCCCTTTCCTTTGCTCTTAGGTTTCACCTCCACACAGAGGTTTGAACACCTACAGTTTCATGCACCCAGGGCACCTTTGTTGAGGAGATTTGCTGAGCAAATCCTAGTAATCCTCCTGAGGTCTCTCTCCAGGTTCCCACCTACAACATTGTGCTCCATGTCTTTCTCAGTTAACCATCAGCCTCAGTAAAAGCAGATAGCCAACAATAACGCTTTTATTACCTTAGATTGTCTTTAATCGGGTACGGAAACTGGATGTTCTTTTCCTGAAGCATGTACCATTTGTCATTAACTTGTTCTTAGACACTGAAAACAAGTTTTCATTTCCTAAGTTAAAAGAAAAACTTTATCTTTTCTTTATTCTTATCAAAAATTCTATACTAGTCTTTTTGCCCTCAGAAGCAGAATCCAATGAGCATTTTTCCTGAGTGTGCTAGACCAAATACACCTAACTTTTTGGACTGAACCAGTATATTTTGCAGTTTCTCAGCAAGGTTTCTGTCGTGGTGGTGGTGGGGGTGGTCTGGTTCAGAGTTGCTGAAATGTGTGTTAAAAAGCTTTGGTATGGTGGGGGAGTGAATCTCAAAATAGCACACATGCATGCACATGCATAACACTGGGTTTGTGTGTGTGTGCGTGTTGTTTGCATAAACGAAAGATTAGGTGCACCTGTGTGTATTTCTGTGCAAGTACACGCAAGTATTCTGAGCTGCAGTGAACTTTGTGCTCCAGTGTTACTTAACCTCGTTGTAATAGGCTCCCTGTTCCCAATGGCTGCCCGTCACAGGCCAAGCCCTAGTTATGTCACATTGGTAATTAAGGTTAAGAGGTTGTAACAGCTACACTGCACATAAAGTACGGTTATCACCATCTGATATAAAGCTGATTGCTTAAGCTCTTGTCTGTGTGTGTTTTTTTAAATAGGGTTAGACCAGACATTTCCACACGGACATGCTGAGACATATCTAGTGCATTTGTCTGGTCATGTTCGGGCTTATCGAAACAGTTCAGGAGTTGTAAATTAATACAGGGATCTGAAATTAATTTTATTGATTAGATTATGTTAGTCTTTAAGATCCTTATGGTTGCAACACACTTTAAACAAATATTAAAGTCCTTGGATAGTTGATGGATACTTGGAGAGACTTCACGTTCAGCTGAAACCGCAGAACACTGAGTCACAACCACATGAGTTAAAGGCACCTTATCTGATTCTCACTCTACAAAGAGAAAAGAAAACAGGTTCATCTACAGAACAACTGCAACAGTCACACACGCAGGGATAGAAACAGGCTCCCGACCTAACCGTTACACATTAGACCATCTGACTTTGTGCAGAAAAGAGAGTTACAAAAACCTGTGTTTGATTATCCAGGCACTCCGAAACAGTTGATTCTTTGGAGCCGAAATTATTTATTGTTTCTATTACAGCGGGACAAGGTGGAGAAAAAGGGAAGTAGGGGAAAAATACAGCTTTCTTCACTTTTCATTCCTTGCTCATTATTCCAGTGTTGGACGAGATTTATTTGGGTGATAGGAGCCCAGCTTGAATGCAGATCGAATTCTAGAAACAGCAAATCAAATAAAACACCAGAAAATAGTGAAAATAGTTCTTGACATGAGCTGAAACCCTGCATGCCATAGTAAAATTGTTATTTTTATTTCACCTTTTATATGAGTACTCACCTGATCTGTTCTGAAAAGACGTGATTGACCAGTCTCTCGTAATAGGGTTGGATTTTCTAAAGCCTAAAACCAGAGTCCAAGGGAGGCAAACGAGTCTAGTTCCCTCCCAGACCACTTAAATTACAGTTGTATTATTAAGGATTTCTTTTGTCCAGCCAGAGGAAAAACATGTGGCCTACCTCAGCTTTAAGCACTCTTTGAGGTTGATGACGGGATATTAAAGAAACTCTCATAATACTGAAGGAGAATACCAAAAAAGATTAGACAGGAGAGATGGGTGGTGTGTGTATGTGTCTGTATGTATGTGGAGCACAATCTGAAGTCCTCTCAGATGGAGCTGGGAAATTACCAATGTGAAGGAAGTGAAGCAAAAAAAAAAGGGGGGGGGGAGACATTAAGAGGAGGGGACGAGAGGAGGGGGTAAATTAACAAGCTTTGCTCTAAATTGGGGTATTACAACTGCCCTCTGGCTGTGATTCCCCAAGGAAGGGCGTAAGACGAAAGGGACAATGGGTTGTAGGAACACACCAGCTTCAGGCTCCCCCTCAAGTGTGAATAGCGTCTTCCAGAGCAGTCAACCTCGGTGTGCAGGAAACCCCCAGGTTCTGTTCCAGTTCCATTTCCAATCTATGGGAACGTCTTCTTTAAAAGGCCCAAGCAGTTTTTCCCATCTAGATGTGCATCTGAAAATCATTCTAAAGGGACAAAAGTATGCAGACAAATCAAAATCATATCCATATGCAATTTCTGCATAAGTCATAGGGAGAAATTATGCTGCAAGACCAACTGGGAAATCAATC